CCCCCCCCCCCCCCCCCCACCTACCCCATCCGAATCGACAAACCAACAACGTTAGGTTGCTTGGATAACCCATACCTTTAGGAATGCCACCGGCTACCTCATCCCGATAGACAAACAAACCAAAAACAACGTCCACCTGCTGTTGTTATCGCGCGTTTTCCTTCAGGAATGTGCCGCCTTTGCCATAATACACCAGGAGTCAAATGGGCAGACGCAACCATTTAGCGCGCAGACGATACACAGTCAAGGATGCTTTTTCGTCTACAAGACGAGCCCTCTTTACATCTTAAGTACGCAATTCTGCGATAACGAGGATGTTCGACCCAACTACATTATTATTAATTTATTTCTTTGTTGTTTTTCTACATTAATTATTAAAACACTTGCAATAATCAAGGTGATGCCGTTGTTAGCAGTGCGTCGCATTTGGCGGTGAGCTCATGTTCTGGAACGTGGCCAGAGCATGGTCCGATCCGTACCCGGATGTAACACGTAATATTGATTATTTCTGTCATGTGTACAACCAAATTCATTTTGAAAACTCTTGAACACAGTTCTGCGTGTTGACCGGGACCAAATATTCAGGGTGGCAACAATGAGCAGGTTGGACCGTCAACTGCGTTGTTTTCAGTCTCACCACCCGACACATATCGGTGTGTGTACCAACAAGCAGCTGTATGCATCCTCCTACACATGATGTGCGGTGTTGTTGAATTCGGCGACGGCAACAGACGCATATGTAGTCTACTAGCAGGTAGGTTGCATTTTTCGTTTAGCTCATGTTCTGAAACATGAGCCGAATTATAGTCCGATCGTTACCCGGACATTACTATACACGAAGACTTCTACATGTAGATAATGTTTTCTTCTGCGGTGTCTCCTTTTGATGCGCGTTTCCGATATTCCGCGATTATTTCGGCTTCTTCTTTACGCGCACGTCGTTTTCGTATATTCCGAGTGCGATGGTGCCGACATTGTATTTACGGACGACAAAGCTTTGTTACGAAATATGTCACATGGGAATAACGACCTTCTCTGCTTAATTCGTGACTGCCGTGTCCGTCTCGGCCAATGCTTGGCTATTCACACATAAATGGGAATTTGTCGGGTTCCACGTGTGCGTCCCGCCTCATCGACGGGCGGCCGCCTTTACCCAATAGTTGTGTTGTATGCATTTTTTTGTTTTGTCTTCACTTCAAATCAGCGCTCACAGCCCCTCTACCCTCCCATCCTGCGGTACTTTGCCTTCGATTCTTAATGCGAGAAGAGTTCAGCACTCTCTTCCCTCTATGTACACACGAACTAGCGCTATCCACTAGGCCAGGTACGAAAGCGAGAGAAAAACTCACTTTGGAAGAAAAGCTCGCTTACACCGGGATTTGAACCCCTGACCTGACCTCTAGAAGGTTTTAGGTATTATACTGGCTGGACCACCGGGGGGACCGTATACCCTGGAAAGATCCAAGTAGGCTATGGAGGAACAAGAAAGCTCGCTAGACAGGTAGACTATAATATAGCGGACATACAAAAAATGAAAGCAAAATAATTGACATAGATAGATAAACACTTGCCCACAACAAAAGCATCCCACCGAAAAGGAGCAAGACAAGTAAACCGGGAGGAGTAGGTGCGAGCACAGAAGAGAGGAGGAGACAGACAGAGAAGGGAGGCGAGGACATCGTCGGTTTTTTTCCCACCCACCCACCCTTTACATTTTTTTCGAAGCTTCTGGCGGACCTTCCGTGCGAGTTGGTGTGAAATGCACGTGGAATACAGGTGAGGCCGTGTGTGCTAACGTCCCTTGTTAAGTACTACACAACAACACGAAACTTACAGCCAACAAGGAAACAGGGGAGTCTCTGTTCCCTGCCCAGCCAAGGGCGTTATGTAGTACACGCCCTCAAGCCAGAAACGCCTTCAACGACTTAGGCTGGCACACGGTAGTTCGTACCTCCGTCTTGACACGCGCCCCCACTCAAAAAATCGAAAACCGTAGGCAAATCAATTTCTGCAGCGGAGAGAGAACAAGAGAGACGAGATCGGACAAGAGAAAGCGAGAGTGGTGGCATGAGTATTGGAGTTGCGTTGGGATTTTCATTGATTGTTTTGACGAGTGTTGTTGGTTGTGTTAGGAATTTTGCTGTGATCGTGTTGACTTTTTTCTTGTTTTGGAAATGATAGCAAAGAAGAGGATACGATTGGTTTTTACCAACGCATTAAACAGGGTTTTCGCACGATTGAGAGCGAAGTTTCCGATTGAGAGCGAGAACCAAAAAAAATCGAAATTCGGGTCCAGACGCCTCCCGTCATTTCTCGGGAAGCAGGGGACGGGCTCTTCCAAAAAGCGGCGCAAGTTGAAGCTCTCTTCAGCAGCTTCGCGTGCATATGCGTGTCACTGCGATCGGCTGCAGCAGCGATGAGCTACGCACGTTGCTAGATTTCCCCAGATTGGCTATTCCTGCCCGAAACTGTTTCAGGGCGCCGTCGCCTGGCGCGGTAGGCCCTCCCGTAGCTTCTGCTCCGCGGTGTAGCTCAACAACGCGAGACACCCGCAGGATGACCCGGGTATCGGCTTGTAGCTATGGGCAAGCCCTTCAATTCAAGCCGCACAGCAAGCTCTACCTCTCAGCGGTAGACAAGCTACATCGTATCGCACGATCTCGCTCTCAATCAGATACTTCGCTCTCAATCGTGCGAATATGTTGTTATTACGATGCATACGAGCAAGGGGGCTATTCGATAGATTGGGGGTAATCGTGGCATAATATGACGGGTTATCTTCAGTACATACCTACAGAAATTGCAGTGATGAGATGCGGAAGAACCAGAACGTTCTGCGTAGTTTCCTTAGAAGTGGGAAGAGTTTGATGGAGATTCAGAGAGATTGTTTTGGTACTTAAAGGGTAATGAACGTGACGCATGCTTGATGCAGTGACCGATTTACGAGCGCAAGCACGACCCTGAAGATTAGACCACGTTGACATTTCCCAAGACGTTTTTTTACCCATCCACAATCCATCATGGCCGGGCTGCGCTATGCTCGCAACACACAGAACTGAGCCATTCGATTTTCGATCAATATCCATCAAGCTGTCGTGCTGCACTCCCCTTGATGTTGAGTAACCCAAAGTAACAACCGCGCAGCAACAAGGAATACGTGATTCCTGCCAAGCTTACTTCCGAGACACAACTGAAACATGGCACTACAGGACACGCGGCACAGACTGCCAAATCCTGACAAAACCTTCAGAAAAATGAGACCACCACTACCAACACAGCAAACGCTGCACAAGGTATGTGGCGGTAACGGTACTGCAGTGCCTTCACTGGCAACGTCAGCGAGAAGTGTAGTGCAATGTGCGGCGAAACAAGTGTCAGTCACTTCTTCGGAGACGCGGGCCTTTTTGGAGGCAGGCCCCCCTGCCGTTATCTCCTCCGATTGCATGTAAAACATACGACCACAGCGCGCGTGAACATGCGAGGATGTGCAGCCATGAAGTGACTGACGAGCGTACGCCACGCGGACATTGTCCAAGTTAATGATGTTGTGCTTGTTGTGTTCCGTCCTGAAAATAAGATCATGGTTGCTTGAACTTCGAACGTGAACGTGTGCCAAAACAAAAAGGAATAAGAGTTTTAGCGTTCGTGTACCGACCTACATGACATGGCCACGGTTGCTACGGGGTTTATGTTGTGAGTTTCACCTGTGTTTAACGTAGTCGATCGGATGCCCGTTGCGTCGGATGTTCTGTTGGTGTCAGGGTCCAGGCTGAGATATCGAGCTTCTCACATTCCTTGGAGACTCAAAAGAAGTATCTGTGGACCCGTGCACATCCCCTACCGTTCCATGCGTCCCGCTGCACCCGTGGTCACACAGGAGAGCCCCTCTCTACCATCCCCTCCTAAGGTACTTTTCCTTCGATTTTTATTGCGAGAAGAGTTCAGCACTCTCTCCTCTTTGATGTACACGAGCTCGCGCTATCCACTAGCCCAGGAGCGGAAGCGAGAGAAAAACTCGCTTAAAAAATGCTCGCTTACGCCGATATTCGAACCCCTGACCTGACCGCTAGATAGAAGGTTTCGAAGTTACCAACTAGACCACCGGGGAGACCGGCCGATACAAGAGAATGAAAAAGGGTAAAAGCTTGACTGGCCAAGAAAGACACAAGCTCTCAGCGCTGCATGTGGTTTGAAGCGGTGCTTGTTGTGTGGTATCATGGGGAACTAGATCAAAGTGACAGATTGCAGGAAGAAACACATTAATATTCGGGCTCTTGAGAGTCTGAACGGATCAAAGCTGCTACAAGATGATAGTCCGTTTGGTAGTAATCCGGGGTACGTTCTCTTGATGTCATTGCCCACAAGTACAGGCAAAGGGGAGAGGAGGATTGTACACAAGAGCGTACACAAGTCATTTCATCAGTAACGTAACACATCATCCAGGTGAACTCAACACCAGAGTCAGCCATCATCGCCAATACCGCGAATCTCCGAGCTCACCGGCGAACAAATCGATGGTTGTCGACCGGTGCTGCAGTGTTTGTCAAGTGCTGTGCTTGGGGGAAAGACTGTTGAACTGTCTGTGGTTAGCCAACGAAGACGGACGTGGCTGGGAAAACGTGACAGAGTTGTGGCCAGGGTGGTGGTCCTGGAGGTTTTGTGGAAGTTGAGCCGGCAGGGCCTACACGAGGTGGCATATGACGAAGATCCAGCAGCGTACCGAGAAATGCGGACACTAGGATATGGTCGCACTTTTTCTGTACCCCCAGAGAGCCTCTGGAAGAACGGTTGTTGTTGCTGTTGTTTCTCACATTAGCTCTCTTGCCTACTAAAAATGGGGAGCCCGTGGTCTCAAAACCCGGCACATACGACGCCGCGGGGAAACAAAACAAAATATGGTACAAACCACTCTGCAAAAACAAAATGATAAAAAGAAAAGAACCGGTGCCGCACCGACCGTTTGAGCAAAGAGCCCTCGGAAACCGGTCGAAATGAAAAATATACTCACCCCGAGACGCGCTTGCTCCGCAAACACATAAGGGTGCCATAATAGAACACACCCGACAAACCGGGTTCCCCTAAATCTTCCGTCTACAACTTCCCAACATAGCATACACATAGATACACAAGATGGCTACCAAACTGCCTTGTTGAGCCTGTTACCCACAGGGGAGATATCGCTGTATTGTTTTTGTTGTTGTTGTTGTTGTTTCTCACATTAGCTCAATAGTCCACAAAAAATGGGGAGCCCGTGGTCTCAAAGCCCGGCACATACGACGTCGCGAGAAAAAAACATAGGGTACAAACCACTCGGAAAAAGAAAACAAAATGATAGAAAGAAAAGAACAGGTATCGCACCGACCGTTCGAGAAAAGAGCCCTCGGACACCGATCAAAATAAAACAAAACAAAAATAACAGAAAAATAAAAGAGGACGCCTCCCACAGCCGCCGAAAGAAAAAATCAAAGGGTAACGTACCAGCACCAGGCACTGCGCACCAGGGCATGGAAGTAACGGAGCGAACAGGGCAAAGAGGCGGCAGATGGGCAGACAGCCAGACGTACAAAAACAAAGGCAACAGCAAAGCGAGATCAAGGTACCCAACACAGTAGAGTAGGCAGGGAGGTCATGAAATGAACACAGCACAGAGGCCGAAGGCAATTCAAAGGACACACACAAAGGAGTATAGCATACGGCAGGGAGGGAAACAGGGCGCAACAACATCAGCCGGGTACCTAGTTCGCCACAAGCGCTGCCTCGGCCGCCCTACTCGCTTCTACAGCAGTGCCCGGTCGCCGCTTCTTCCCCCCCACCGCCGCTTCGCCGGTTCTCTCTCTCTTCGGTCTTGAGATGGTCGTTCTCTCTGCTTCTGCTTCCCTCGCGCGCTGGCGCTTCGCGGACGCTTCCGCCTCCTGCCTGTGCCATTTCCTCATGAACCATGCCGCCCCGTCCTCGACCTTGTTGTACCACACCTCCGAGT